CAATACCTTCGACTTATATTCCAAGTGAAAACAATTACTTAAAAGTTTAATAAAAATAAATCAAAATTAAACTACATGGGGGATTATTCAGGGTATTTTAACTTAGTTGCACCAAAAGGGTATCTTACTATACCAAATTAATTCTTGATTCTTCAAAGTTTAGTTTAGGCATAATAAAAAGGAGTATATAACATCAATAGAATGTCATAAACAGTGCAGAATAAGTCTGTTCGCATTTCAGGCAAAATTTATACTGTTGAGATAGTGTCAAGACATATTTAAGACTGTCAAGAATGTGTCGAGACATATTCAGACATTATTTAGAATGTCAAGAATATGTCGAGACATATTCAGACATTATTAAGAATGTCAAGAATATGTCAAGACAGATCGAGACAAATTTAAGACAGTCAATAATTGGTCGAGACTAATCCAGACTCTTATCAGATGATACAGGAAGTGTCGAGAAATTTTAAGACAATGTTCATACTGTCAAGACACTTGTCAAGAAAAATCAAGAACCTTATTAGACAAATTCATACTATGTCAAGAATTTTTAAAAATTATTCAGGCAAATTAAGAATGTCGAGTAAAAATTCATGCAAATTCAGACAAAAACTGGTCTTTTCAGACTTTTTGACTTTTGTAGTGTAAGCTCTCAGTGTTTAAGGTCAAATGCTGTCAGTATTTAAGGTCCACAGCTCTATCAGTACTTAACATCCAAAGCTCTGTCAGTACATAAGATTCAAAGCTATTTCAGTTCTTATGGTCCAAAGCTCTCCGTAATTAAGGCCGAAAGCTCTGTCAGTACCTAGGTTTCAAAACTGTCAGTACTTAAGTTTCAAAGCTCTGTCAGTTCTTTAGGTCAACAGTTCTGTCATTATTTAAGGTTTAAAGCTGTCAGTATTAAAAGTCCAAAGCACTATCAATACTCAAGGTTTAAAGATCTAGCGATACCTAATATTCCAAGCTGTGTCCGATCAGTATTTAAGGTTCAAAGCTGTCAGTACTTTAGGTCCAAACATCTGTCAGTACTTAATGTTTAAAGCTGTTAGCTTAAGATCCAAAGCTCTGTAATACTTTAGCTTTAAAGCTGTCAGTCGTTAAGGGCATAAAGTACAAAGCTCTGTAAATAACCATAATCAATTTTAGAGTGATGAAACAATATAATAAACATGTTCATGAAAATTGTATAGTTAAACTTTAAAATAGAGGCTGTACATGTATCACTGGTATATTTTTATAAATTTGATAAAAGGCAAAAAAAATATTTGCGTTGTTTGGGTCAAAATCTTGTCCTGCTGGACCAGGAGCCTGTTTATCTCTTGTCCTGCTGGACCCGGGGCCTGTTTATCTCTTGTCCTGCTGGACCCGGGGACTGTTTATCTCTTGTCCTGCTGGACCCGGGGCCTGTTTATCTCTTGTCCTGCTGGACCAGGGGCCTGTTTATCTCTTGTCCTGCTGGACCCGGGGCCTGTTTATCTCTTGTCCTGCTGGACCAGGGGCCTGTTTATCTCTTGTCCTGCTGGACCAGGGGCCTGTTTATCGAAGCGCTCTTAGGACTAGGACAGGTCCTAAGATCATCTCAGGAAGTATCTTTTTCCTAGGTGAGTTTATCAAATATGTCGTAACGTAGGAAAAGTCATAGGAATCGTCCTAACTTTAGGACACCTATTTAGGAGTCTTAAGATGGTCTTTGGATGGTCCTATCTTAAGGATATATTCTATGATGGTTAATTTGTAAACAAATACGACCTCCACCTATAGATGTTTATTTAAGAAGCAGTATAAATAATTTTTTTTAGCAAAAGACCACTTATGGACCATTTGGGAGACATTGATATTATACGCATGCAAGTATAGATTATCACGTCCGTAAGACAGGCGCTTAGAGAATGACCCCCTTTTTCTAAATATTTTATTTTGTGTATTTTGATTTTTACTAAGTAAATATTCTTTAATATTTTTACATATTTTCACTTATTCAATGTTTTCTTGCTCTTAATATCCAAAAGATATTACGATAACAGTAGTATGTCAATGATGTCGCTCTATTTTTATTTTCCACGTGGGAAATAAGAGTAGAGTGGCATCATATATAAATAAATCACATTAAATAAATGAACATAGGTTAACATAAAAATGATTATTAACTTTGAAAAAAAGTTAAAACATAAAAAAAAAATTCAGAAAAAGGGGGTGCATTCCCAAAGCGCCTGTGATCCGTAAAGAAATATTTTATGTACTCCATATATATATGAAAGATGCACGAGTTTTTCCTTTGAACTCTGTCAATTATAAAACCGTGACACTTCGAATTAAACTCACTCAAAAATATATAATGAGTGTTACCGATTATATTTTGTTAAGTGTCACCAGAGACATATAATGTATTATATGTCTCTGGTGTCACTATCTACAAATAATTTGTTCAATTATTATATAAAACGTTGTTACATTTTTATTGTGTTTTTGCTTTTGTTTCATTAAGTTTGAATGTACATAATAGAAATATCATTTATTATCTATATTTTAATAATAGTAATAATATTTCTAATTTTCAATCTTATAATTATTACTACTGGTGAAATTCGATGCATTTTTTATTGTTAATATCCTATTTTCCTTTACGCTAACACTTAGGACAGAAGTTAGGACATCCTAGCTAAGATAGTCCTGAGATAGCTTCGATGTGCATGCTGAGACATGTCGTAAGTCGGTCCTAAAATTATTCAAACTTTTTTCTTAAGATAGGTCTTAGGACAGATCCTAGGACAGCTTCGATAAACAGGCCCAAGGTTTCTGTATATCCATTATAGTTTTAAAAATATTAAGCAAAAATGAAAAATAGGGGTTCGAATTGTGATTTAGGGGCAAGCAACAACCCCTGTGAGGAGTCAATTAACACTTTCATTTGTGTATTGCAGATCATTTTTGCTATTCAATGTTTCAGTTTATTTATTATAGCTTTTTAGGAAATTATGTAAAATTAGTCAAAATAATTATTCATACTTCCTATGTCGAGTTAACTGACAATTTGATTACTTTTAGAGTAAGTGCATACAGAGTCTGTGTCACTCATTTGCATCTATGTGCATCTTCAACAAAGGACATTATCCAATATTTTAGACTAGAATGTAATTCCTGATTAAATTATCTTTCTTTTTTTTTGGTCTTGTTTTGTTGATCATTTTTGCTGTTCTCAGTTTTTACTTTATCTTCCATAGTTTTTGTCAAAAATGCAAAAAAATGGGCAAAATTCGGCATTAAAGGACAATAACTCCTCTAAAGAGTCGACTGACAATTTTAGGCATTTAGACCTATTTGTGAATATCGTCTTGCTGATCATTTTAGCTGAATATAGTTTCTTTCTATCTACAATATCTTATAAAAAAAATGCCAAAAATTGGTAAAAATCGTCATTTAAGGGCAATTATTTTTTCCTAACAATGTCGTTAACTTGTTTTTCTGAAAATGTTTGCTAATTACAGGTAAAAAACTTTCTTTATGTACGTAACTTTTCGTCAAAAAAGCAAACAAGAAGCACACCTGTGTCTATATCGCTCACTTTAGAACTTTTATTTACAAATATATTTTCTATTATAGTAACTTTTTGTGTTGCTGATCATATTTGCAATTTACATGTTTATGGCTAGCTAATATTAATTTTAGATAACAGCCAAAACTTAAAAACAATAAATTCAATACATTTCAGGGTCAATAACTTAGCGGGTTAACAAATTTTCAGGGTAGATAGATCTTGTCATGCTTCGAAAAAGTGAAAAAAATGTATATTTCAGGGGGCAATAACTCAAAAATAGGTTTACAGAATTTTCATTGTTAATTGATCTTGTAGTGTTTATAATTTTTGAAATTTACACATTTCACTTGGCTCCTTTTTTATAAAATAACAGTCAAACAACTGATATTTCAAAAACAATAACTCCACAACAGATTTTCCCCCAATTTTCGGGGAAGATACATCCTGTCATTTTTGAAATTTTAAAATTTTGAAAAAGGAGTCGACTGCTTATTTCAGCCATGTTGGCTTATTTGTAGATTTTGATTATCCTATATGCTATTTACAGTTACCTTCTATCAACTATAGCTGCTGCAAAATTGCAAATAAGGGATAAAAATAGTAATTCAAGGGCAATAACTCCTATAAATGTTGTTATCTGCGAAGTTTTTGGAATAAATGGTTAGTAAGTGTTAGCAACATCTCCTCATGTAAATGGTTTTAAGCGGAGAAACTTTGTAGGTATCAGACCTTCTATGGGATACTGTCAAATTGTTTCAAACTAATTCTGTTCAATTAAACTTAAATAATTGTTCAACTTAACATCCTGATTTTTAGTGTGTGCGTGTTTATCATAGGAGCTAAGCGATTGGAAAATCCTGCTTTACTGTAAATATATTTCATAGAGATAAGAAGATGTGGTACAATGTATGAGTGCCAATAAGACAACTCTCCATCCAAGTCACAATGTGTAAAAAGTAAACAATTATAGGTCAAAGTACGGCCTTCAAAACGGAGTCTTGGCTCACGCCGAACAGCAAGCTATAAAGGGCCCTAAAATGACTAGTGTAAAACAATTCAAACAGGAAAACAAAACCAACGGCACAATCTATATAAAAAACGAGAAACGAGATACTCTTAAGAACCACATCAACAAACGACAACCACTGAAACAGGTTCCTGACTTAGGACAGGTGCAAACAAATTCAGCGTGTTAAAACGTTTTAACAGACGCCAACCTCCACCCTTACCTGAAATAGTAGTGTAACATTACAACATAGAAAGACACACTATAAAATATCATGTTCCCCAATATTAAATGTTCTCTGTAGTGTTTTGTGGACTGGTGCTTAGTTATCTTTTTTTTTCTTCTTTTTGCCATGGTGTTATCTGTCTTTCTTCAACTAATTTTGAATGTTCAATTGGTATGTTTTATGTTTGTTTTTCATATTTAAAAAGTATTTTGCTATATTTGTTTTAGGTTTGTTGTGTGCTATACCACCAATGAATGTAGTGTTAGCTGTTAATCTACGGAGACAAATTCGAATTAAATATAACATTTCTGGATCTATTCCAAAGGATATCCTTGCTGTAATTCTGTGTCCATTCTGTACTTTGATACAAGAATCACAACAATTAACAGACCACCAAATTGAAACAAAAATTCCATCTGATATGGTGATAGACAGAGACGATGTGGAAACCCAAATCACTAAGGAAACTCCCTCCTGACAGACAATGAAAAAAAATATTCAGCTCAACTAGAGAACTAAAAAAGGCTGTAATTTGCGAATGATCATGACACACCCACAAAATAACAAAAAAAATCTGGCTGTGATTTGTGAATGATCATGACACACCAACAAAAAGACAAAAAAAGCTGACACGACAACTGATGAATGAAAATGTCTTTTTACGGGAAACATTATTCAACTTCATTTTTGCACAGTGTATAAAAGTATTGTTACACAATTAACCTGTATATAAAGGACAATTAACCTGTATGTGAAGGACAATTAACCTGTATATAAAGGACAAATATGGAATCAAAACAAAAACATGTCCTTCTTAGGACGCTATCCATTATACAGAGGTTTAAATAACAAGCTTTTTTTTCTGTTTTATCCTTGAAAGGCGTCTATGAGTGTAGATAGATAATAAATTTAAAGACAGAACTAGTCCGGTCTAAAGCTCTTCAGTACCTTGGGTGAGCTAACACTATGGATTCAAAATTAAATTGGTGGAACTATATAGTAAATAAGGATACGTATACAAAATAATCACAGCATGGAAACTTTTGTCTGGATCATAAATAAAAGTAGGTGAAAAAACTGTCAAAATAGGTGCAATTTGGGTACCCGCACTTTATACAGTTGTTTCATGAATCCAAATAAACTTACTATATAATATTATTGTGATACCAATGTGGATCTATTTCAAGAGAGGAGCGAACGATACCGAAGGCACATTCAAGCTCATAAGTTGAAAATAAACTGACAACGCCATGGCTAAAAAATAAAAAAAGACAAATAGACAAACAATAGTACACAAAACACAACATAGAAAACTAAAGACTGAGCAACACGAACCCAACCAAAAACTGGGGGTGATCTCAGGTGCTCCGGAAGGGTAGGCATATCTTTCTCCACATGTGGCACCCGTCGTAATCAAAGGACTATTCAAGGCTACAAAGAGAATTAATAACACATCCTTATTAATCAAAGTTACACGACGGGAGCCACAAATGCAGCAGGAACTGTTTTCCCCTCCGGACCACCTGGTTTTATATGGTTGGATTATTGCTGGCAATATTTAGTTTTCTGTGTTGTGGTTTGTGAACTGGTGTTTGCATTTTGATTTTCTCTCTTTTTTATTTGAGTTATTTTGTTTTCTTTCTTTCGTCACTACAACTACAACTTGTAGAGCCGGATTCATTAAATGGCAAGTCATACCGACGTCGAGTGAAATATGATCTATAACCGAATCTAATATGCAAATTTTAGAACACATGGAAAGGTATAGTTTTTTTATTGTTAAATAGAATATTGAAAATGGATGGAAACTTCAAATCGTCTGCGGCTTTAGGGTAGAGTACTAGGGTATAATAATAACGATATACTAATAAAAAATTACATTTTGATAACATTTTTGTGCAACTCGAGAACCGAGATGATTTTTTGAAAGCTATATTTGGAGTTTCAAATTTTAATGGCATGTCGACTCCTTCATAATCGCCAGTTTAATTTATGGCTCCTTTATGATATATTGGCATTTGTACAGAAGTACTGAGCTCATACAAGAAGTGAAATGAAGACAAAATTATCTCGCCAATTCTCTTCGTTTGTCAATATACTTTCACGCCAAACCGTTCAAAACAATTCATCTGAGGGTGATCTAGAGTAAAGTCCAAATGGTATCCATAGCGTGTCGAAATATTTTGCGCACGTGTGTATAAAACGATATTCCATGAAGTACTCAAACCAATGAGACAATTGTAATAATTGTACAATTGATTGTTGTTTGTCTAATAAACGTTCAGTGGAAAATATTTCGCATATGAAAATATCATTAAATCTAAAAGGTTCTGTAAAGTAGACTTAAGTCGGGATAAGGATCAAAAACTTTGACTGCCACTGGACAAATAAGAGTATGGCGAATAGGGCAGTAAATAGGCTATGCAGCAGTCAATCTACAGTCCCCCGAAAAAGTTGTTTCTAGAGTTCTAAAGTTCAGAGAGCTTGGAAAGTTCCCCACTCGAGGCATATTCATACATGTACATCATACAGTCAAGTGGACTCCATTTACAGAGAATTTATACACTCTAGAAGGAGAAAATAAAACCAATTGTTATACCCAGGGAGAGAGAACACTACTATGTCCAAGAGCTGTTTAAAATAGGGCTAATCTATATCTTAACACTATAAAAATAAGGAGATGTGGTATGATTGCCAATGAGACAACTATTCACCAAAGTTCAAATTAAGTGGATGTAAGTAATTATAGGCAACCATATGCATACGGCCTTCAACAATGAGAAAAACCCATACCGTATAGTCGGCTATAAAAGGAACCCGACATGAAAAATATGAAACAATTCAATTAAAAAAACTAACGGCCTAATTTATAACAAACAATTTACGAAAAACAAATATGACAGACATGAACCAACGACAACCACTGAACTACAGGCTTCTGACTTGGGACAGGCACATAAAGAATGTGGCGGGGTTAAACATGTTTGTGAGCGCTCAATCCTCCCCCTAACCTGGGAAACGCCTTCATTCTTCTGATTTTGTTGTAGTATTCAAAATTATCTACACACTTCAATGCCTCTATTTTCATGCAAAATGTTTCTTCGAGAGCTAGAACGATGAAAAATCTGCCTCAGCGTGCATGTCTAGAATGTTCATCTCATGAACGGGTTATCGTCTTTAATAATCATGACCCAAGAGTGACTGAGGAATAGTAATATAGTCACCATTGGTCTTCCTCCGACCGGCAGTACAAATTGAATCCTCGCCAAAGTGGGGCGTCCGTTTGGCTGTGCGAGATATACAAGTTCGCAGTCACGTCCGGTCAGAATGGGGACGTTAAATACGATGCCTTTGCCACGCTCTTTGCATGTTAAGAACCCTTGCAACAACTCTTTGAGGGGCCGTAGGTGTCCTGTTGCAAGGCTAAATTTTTTTCCCTATCCAAGATACCCTCATTTTCCAGTGGCAGTTCAAATTTCCCCGACTTTCATCCTGGACGGCCTCTATTACAGGACCTACCTATTGTATTTATTGTTAATTTGTTCTCGTCATGAACATGCATGAAATATTTGCCACTGGACGTTAAGCAACCAACAATCAATCAATCAATTATCATGTAATACAATGTATATGCAGCTTGACAGCCATTAATCCATAAATCGACCAACAAATAAATTCATTTTTCTGTCATCTATCTTTTCTCTGCTTATTAAATATCCAAATATCTGTTATATTTACTAATAATACTTCCTTAGCGAAAATTATCCATGGGTCCCACTAGGCCAGAGGTTGAAATAATATATGACAATAAAGTCAAATTAAGAGAACCACATCAGTAACATAAAAAAAACTGATGGACACTGACAAGCAACCATGCATGGTCAATAACACATTCAATTTCCATATAAAGTACTGGTATTAGATATGACATACATACTTTAAGTATAGTAGAGCTATGAATATTTATTGTTCAGGAAATAAATTGACTTTTGTGTACAGTATTATATAGGTCGATTTTCTTTCTCTCAAATGTAAACAAATTGTATACGGTATTCTTCTGAAAATACGTTGAGTTTTCAGTTATTTGCAGACATGTTTATGAAACTTTTAATGCCTGAAAGCAAGCAATTTAACCACCATGATGATCTGGTCATTGGGTAATTGATTTAGATAATTGAGCATTCAAGTGTTAGTATAAGCGATGATAAAAGAGCTCAAAGTGTAATTGATAATTGTTATATTTAAGTTCACCTGTAAAACCGGTCAAATTTAGAAAAAAATGTCTCAATAGACATTTGGTTTCTATTTGGTCAAAGATCTGTAACAGTTCAACATAATGTCATCAGACTGGAAGTACAGTTATATTGAGTGCTTTGGAAACATCGGGCTTAGTATCCGGACCTATATAGTACCATGTTACACGTTCGGGAAGAACGCACAGCTGATGGACAAAAGTTGTTTACTATATGGTAAGAATCAATTAATTCACTTGTATTTTACTTCCTTTTCTACTTTAACCATTAAAGTGACCACCTTCAACAAATTGAAGATTATATCACAGATGGATAACTTACAACAAGACATAGATTAATGTTATACAAATTAAATATAGAGGAAAAATGAATATTACAAATGTACATGTACAAAAAGTTTGATATGAATAGCTACATTTAATATTAGGGTCTGTATGGGGTTCACAGAATAGAGAATAATGACTTTATTAGTACAAAGTTCAAAGTTCTTTATTTCAAATCAAGGGCCCCTGACGGGACATAATGACAATAATACACAATACATTCTCATTCATAACACATAAACATATAAATGGAGATAAGATTAAAATTCACTTAAAGTGGATGAGAGTACAATACAAATATAGCAATAAATTATGTGTGTACCTTTTATTTGTACAGTAGTTGACTGATTGCAGGATAAGTAGATTAATGTCATTTTACCTTTTTTGTTTTGCCGTTTACCAAGGAATTGTATATTTAAATATACAATTCCTTGCTTTTACACACCGCCTATACCGATCCAAAATCCGCGAAGGGATCCGAATTCCGAGGAGCAATACCACTTTGTTTAGTGCAATTCGTAAGTAAAATCTGGATCCGATTCCCACAGAGGGGTATGCTCCATGGGAATCGGATCCAGATTTTACTTAACAATTCAAAATTTATTTACCGAGTTCTTGCCATGCCTTAAAACTTTTCCAGGTGATTTTTGTGGTGATAGCACGGTCATATTTTTAATCGCTTCTGATTAACCTTAAGGGCATTAGATACAGTTTCACGTTATATTGTCATTTTTATATTTTTGAAATATGTTGTAGGCCTGGGCGAGTTGTATAAGAAATCACATGAATAAGTATGAAATATGTGCCGCTGGTTGTTAATCAAACAACAATTAAACTTTTAATATATCTTACATCTTGTTGATGCATCATCACAGTTATACGCAGAGATGGTTTTCATGATTTCTCCGAACAATATTTAATTGCTGTAACAGTCCAGTTACAGTTATACGATGTTGTAAAATGTCAATATGCATGACTCGACCTATCGTGCGAAAAATGTGTTGGTTGGTATCTTGTAAGTAGGGTATTCGAACGCGCATTTCACCATGTACCTAGGGCTTCGGTGGCCGACTGGTCTAAGTAGTCCAACTACTGTATCACCAGCCTGTCAACACTTAGGTTGTGAGTTCGAATCCCGCATATGGCAGGTGCAAAAGTACTGAAAGTGGCGTTAAACACAACGAAATAAGTTCAAACTTGTATGAAAACAAAACAATGTGATTTAAAAATTACGGACGATGTTAAAAACAATTTAAATGTTTTAATGAATATTTGCACATGATACCCCCTCGGATAGATCTTGAATATAATCTTTAAATAATATTATTTCGGAAATTGACCATCGTTA